GATACGGATAAGTGTAAATTGACTTCGTTGCTTCCTTCGCTTGATCATAGGGGGTACCCTTGATTCGTGCGTTCAATTCCGCTAGGAGCTGCTTGAGCGCAGCCTGCTCCGATTCGTTGTCAAGGTCTTTGATGCCAGGCTCGAAAATTGGGAAGACTTCTGTAATCGCTGGATCATCATATAAAGAAAGTTCATAGTGACGGCAGACTTCCGCAAAACTCCAGTCACTGAAGGCTTTACAGGGGGTTTCTATCGTCACCGTCATCATCCGGATATTTTTGGCAACCAGTACCCGCAGAATTTCCCGGAATTGAGTGTCTGTTCTGGGATAGTATGTTTCCTTCACGTCTGTTGACGTTGTCAAATCAAAGACCACGTCTTTTTTATCCTCCTGAGGGTACTTGTTGAAGATAGCATCAGCGAAGGTCGCCAGTGTCACGGTCTCTAGGTTCGCGATCCACTTGAAAGACTTTTTCTTTGGTTTCACAACTAGTTCAAATTCTAAGTAAAGTCATAGAACGCAATTGTTTAATACCAATGCTAATTTGAAACCCTTTAAACGAACATACCATGGACGGATTTTTGGAACAGCGCTCGTAGCTCATCGAGTTGCCTTAATAAAGCCTCACGGCTAGGGATCAAAGCGGTACTGTCTATGATGGATGAAGGATGGACAGAGCTAGCCAAGGTTGCAAACACCATGACAAAAATAGGAGCGGGTAGTTTGCAACGCTTTACCCTACATACACACTACTCTATGTCACCAATGCTGAGTCACAAAGTCGTTACGCAATGCAATAAATAAGAATGAAAGTGATAAATGTAACAAAAACGAAGAATAGGCACACGAATGGTAGCAACAAGTGGTTAAAGAATGACAAAATCGAAACTAATAATAGTATTCTATATGATTGGCGAAGTTGATACACTCCACCCCTACGGAAACACTACTCTATGTCACCAACGCCCAGGTCACAAAGTCGTTACCTGCAGATGCACTGGGTTTCTGCAGCAATTCTCTCACAGTTTTACCCCACTCTTCGGCCAGCTTCATCCAGAA